CTCTTCTACTTTTCTTGCCTATGGTGTGCCACAAGGTTCAGTTTTGGGGCCTTTATTGTTCTTACTGTATTTACTTCCTCTTCAACACTTGTTGAGCACTTTTAAGGACATTTCGTATCACTGCTATGCAGATGATATTCAGTTATATATCTCCTTTAAGCCCCATGATGTTTCCAAGCTACAGATTTTGCATAAATGCATAGACTCCATTAGATGTTGGATGGCTGGAAACTTTCTTCAACTAAATGAGGAGAGGACTGAAGTTCTTGTTTGTACCTAGTGTTATGGAGAACTTGGGTCCACTTGCTACATTTGCAAAACCGTCTATCAGGAGCCTTGGTGTTAGTATTGACTCAGCTCTGACTTTGGATGCCCATGTAAAATCTCTGGTTCACTCCTGTTTTTATCACTTGAGAAATATTGCTAAGCTGAGTCCTATTGTATCGTGCTCCGATTTAGAAATTGTCATTCATGCATTTGTTTCATCTCGTCTGGACTATTGTAATTCTTTGTTTACTTGTTTATGTAAAGCCTCTTTGGAGCGTCTGCAAGTTGTTCAGAACGCTGCTGCAAAGCTTCTGACCAAGTCCTCCAGGTTTTCCCATGTCACACCCCTGCTGATCCAGCTGCACTGGCTCCCCGTTAAATTCAGAATCCAGTTTAAGGTTTTGACCTTGACCTTCAGGGCTCTGCATGGACAAGCACCAACATATATAAGCGAACTTTTACATCCATACATTCCCAGCAGGTCCCTGAGGTCATGTGACCAGGGCTTGCTTGCTGTGCAACACACGAGGCTGAAAACAAAAGGCGACAAAGCTTTTGGAACTGTGGCCCCCAGATTGTGGAACTCTCTCCCTTTCAGCCTGAGATCTGTGGACTCAGTGGTCGCTTTTAAAAAACAGCTAAAAACTCTTTTTAAACTTGCTTTTTGTTGATTTTTATTTTTAGGTTTTAGCTTCTGTGAAGCACTTTGTGATTTTTATCTTGAAAGGTGCTATATAAATAAAGTTTTACTTACTTTACTTACTGATCGATGTTTTAAACTGTTTTAAATATGGATGAAGTTACATTTAACACTTTCAAGTGAAACACAAAGTCTGAAGAAAGAAGACACACAAGCAGACTCTATACAACTGGAGATGCAGTTTTTCTGACGCACTTGTCTCCTTCCTGCTGATGAATGAGATGAAGACTGGTGAAATAATCATCCTCAGATAACATTTTGCTCCAAATTTGCACTTTTGTCTGACGTTGCACAAAGCAGGACTTTCAGTGGTTTCTACCAAAATGCATTTGCAAGGAAAACAGACATTATCAATATCTTGATAAGGCAGCATGCATGCTAACAAAGCATGCTTTGATAGCAACAAACTAACAAAGCGTGCATGACCATGAGAAAATAAATGGATTTCAAAAAATGTTCAGGCGATCTAAATCAAAGCAGAATTTTGATTGATGATTTGTTAAATTCTGTCGAGTCAGCATTGAAATAATCAGACTTTTGCAGCATTTTATTATTAAATTAAATCAACACTTATAAGTACGTATGTAAATGAATTTGCATTTCACAGAATCACTGTATTTTTATTAAATATTATTTATTTCATTTATTTTTATCTACTGATATTTTCAGGCATAGAGTCTCTTTCTCTCTCTCCTCTCCCTTGGAGCTGTTCTTTTAAAATAACGGAACAAGACTATAGTGCAAGAAAAAAAAAAACATTCAGACTATAAAAATACACAACATTACAGCATGACCACTCAACTAGATTCTTTTTCTAATTCAAATATCATCAACAGATCCAAGTCTTAAATAAACGTGTGCCCCACCGCCCAACAATCTGAAACGGTAGCAGTCAGTCAACTTTGAATCATCGTGATTCATGGAGTTCATTCTCCAGGTGGCTTGAGTCTTCTTGAATAGTGCTACATTATCATCCACTGCTTGACATAATTTGAATTTGAGTTCGTGTGCTGATGAAATAAATCAGAGTTGATCTGATCTGCTGTATTTGAGTCTGATGCTCCGGGGCTGCCGCACTCCCCAAAACCACTATCGATTGTGTCCAAGTCCACATGAGGGTAGCCATCCTCTGACTGCTCAAATGAGTCAAGGGATACCCTCTCTGGTTCATCAAACTGATCGTGAGGCTGGAAGTTTAGGTTTTCCACTAATAGGTCATTGGATATGCGGTTTTCATGCTGTGGTAATACCCCACTTTGTCTGTCCATCCTGGACATGTGAGGCTCCTCTAAATCATAGCTGGCATGCTCTCTGTTGTCTTCCTCAAAGGAGCCCAAGCTTGCTCCATCTTGGTAACTTCTGAGGGAGCTCTGTGATG